CTTCAGTCCATTTCATGGCATTTGTGGTGGTGGTAGGCACCGTGTAAACTGAAGTACTTTCAGCAAAGAGGTCTCTGGCATATCTCAGTACATCTGGGGGGGTACCCAAATATGAAGTAGTAGCATTTGCTCCATTACCCTCAGAGGGATGGTTTTGAGTAAGACCAGCCTACAGCTCTATGCCATTCTATTTCTAGAGCTCTCAGGAGCAGTGGCATCACACTGACCACAACGCTAACCCAATCGGTGACATTGCCAGGGCTCAATTCACCAGCATTTCACTATTCCTGCCAGGCTCCACAGCTGATGTCACCCTGGACTGTAACTCACCTCTAACGAAGGGATGGTATTTGATTTGTTTCACTACTGTCATTCTACCTCTTGTCCTGAGAACTGAAGTCAAATGAAAACTACCATTACCCCTGGAAAGAAAGACATGGTAACTGACCTCCCTACTGCTCTACCCAGACTACAATTCCAATTCCTGGCCACTGCTCTCCTACGTGTGTTGTATCTCCCATAAGAATGTAATTTATTTGAAGGAAAGCACTGTCTTGCTTTTGTGTTTGTATCTCTAGTGCATGCCACACAGCCAAACCTTAATAAGTGCTTTTCATTCATTATTTAATTATATCGTCTCAGAGTACAAAAGAAGATGCCAATAGTGGCGCTGGAAAGCCACAGTTTTAGAGGAAGCAAGCACACAAAATTTCACTTTGTGCCAGTTACTGTGCCAGCCCATTGAATTAAAAATGGAAGGATACCATTGATAGTTACAACCTGTAGTTAAGCTTATGGAAACTAACAAGTTTGGTTCAGTTCAAAAGCATAAGAATGCCTTACACTTCAGTCATAAACTGACAACTTTCTCTCCATTTAAAAATGGCTCCATGACAAAAGTCAATATTAGACTTTTATTTCCCCCAAAGCATTAGAAATAGCCTGCGGTCTAAGGAATTAAATCTCTCCTGACCTAAAAATGACAAATCCTGTCCTCAGATAAGGGAATGTTGTTTATTATTAGTTCTTAAAAGAAAATAAATCACTTGTTTCAATGCCCTGGCATACATAAACAATTAAACATCTAGACAAATGTGTGAAAACTTAAGTAATTAAAAAAACCCATTTAATTATAGCAGCATGAGAACTCTGAGATGAAGACATGCTTGCTAGCAAGCTGCCTGACTTGACATGGGCCCCATCTGTCAGTCACTTGGTCAACACGTATTTAATGTGTGTCCACAGGTGCACAGCTCTGTACTAAGCCCTGGGGTGTACATATTTGTTCAGGGAAAAGCTTGTCCTGCTGTGTGCAGTGAATAGGTTTTAATTGCTTTTGGCTTTTCTTATTTCTTAATCAATTTGTTTCAAATTTCACTATTTACCACCCACTAACAGCCAAAGTACTGTGCTAGTGAATTTAACACAAATTTAAATGAACTGCATGACAAAATAATTTTTTTAAAGGAAAAAATGATTTCCTTGAACAGTATAGAAGGCAGTTTCTCAAGTAATGAATTCAATTGATACAGCCAATATTTTGCAAGCTTCAAAAAAAGAAAAGATAAATTTAGGCAAATTTGTTAGAAGCACAATTCTTCTTCCAAATTATAAGCTTATTACAAACCATCTCTTTCACATTAAAGACAGTTACTAAGCTATAATCTAATAATCTAATAGGATTTAATACAGGGTTACAAATGACTGTGTGGTAGGTGTATGGGCAACTCCCTATCCTCAAGGAAAAACTAAAATGAATTTGGAAGAGATCTCAAAAATCCCCATTTTATCATGGAAGGAGCTTCGAACTGGAGATCCAGTTCCACCTTAGCCAGCAATCAGCTGTGTAAGAAAATCACTCAACCTCTCTGGGTTTTGGTTTCATGACCTGTAAAATGGGAGGTTTGGAACGGATGATTTCTAAGTCTTCCCAGTTTTAACATTATGGGATTCTAGTTCATGACCAGATGTACTAAGGTGTGACGGATGGGGTCTCTGGAAAAGGACTCTGCTGGAATATTCCCAGGCATCTATCCTTGGCTCTATTTTTTCCAACACTTTTTGTTAATGATTTCAACAATTTTTGTTAATGATAAAAGTGTACATAGCATGCTTATCGGACGTGCAGATGACCCAAAGCTTAGATGAATAGCCTATACAATGGAGAGAATTAAGATCCAAAGATACTTTGACAGGCTGAACGGCTGAAACTAGCAATGTGAAGTCAAACAGGGATAAAGTCTCACATCTGGGTTCAGAAATCAGCTCTGCAAGGGTAGCCTGGTGGAGATGTTGGTATCATAGTTGTATAAAAAAGACTGGAGAGTTTTAGAGGAACTAGAAGCTCAAGATGAACCAACAGTTGTCATGATACCTAAGAACAATTACCTTATTAATAACAACAATAATAAAAGCAGAATATCCAGAATAAAGGACATAAGAGTCCTCACAGACTCTGCCCTGGTCAGACCACATCTGGACTCTTGTCTT